CATTTGCTATAGCACCATCTCTATTTTTACAAGTATACACAGTTATGGCCACAAAATATAATGGAGTCCATCCAATATTTTATGCCATGCTGCCGAATAAAACAAGATCCACATATACCCGTATGTTTGAATTGATCAGACAAATTGTACCAAATTTGCAACCCAGAGCAATCCATTGCGATTTCGAACAGGCGGCATTTAAGGCAATGGAAGATTGTTTTCCAGGCGTCGACATCAATGGATGTTTTTTCCATTTGGCACAAAATATGAAGAAACAAGTGGCTGCTATGGGATATACGAGAGAGTATAATGCTGATCCACAATTCGCTTTAAATTGCAGAATGTTGACAGCATTAGCATTTGTTCCTATCGAACATTTAGATGATGCCTTTGCCGTTCTAGCGGAAGCTCTACCTGCTGAACACCAACCACTTGTAGACTGGTTTGAAGACTACTATATTGGACGTATGAACAGAAGAGGAAATGGCAGAAGACCAAGTTTATTTCCCCAAAGGATGTGGAACCTCTACCAGAGAACTCTGGATGGAGAAGACCGGACAAATAATCACGCTGAGGCCGCCCATAGAAGACTCAAGATGGAATTGGGAGCAGATCATCCAACCATATGGAAATTTATAGATGGCCTGCGTCAGGTGCAGAAAGGTCGAGATGTCTATTTCGAGCAACTTGTGGCAGGTAATCTCCCACCATTGAAATTAAGAAAATACAGAGACGCAGATGATCGCATTTCACGGCTTGTGGGAAATTTTGATGCAAACGGGGATGTTTTAGAATTTTTAAGAGGACTAGCACATAATTATAATATGTAAGTAGGTACTTTATTTTAATTAATATTTCGTGAATAAGTTTTGTAGGTTAAATATAAATGTCTTGTATGTAAGTATAAATGTTTCAGAATTTTTAATTGGACTAGCACATATCTAATTATAACATGTAAATACTTTATTTTAATTAATATTTCGTGAATAAGTTTTGTAGGTTAAATATAAATGTTTTGTATGTAAATATAAATGTTTCAGGATTTTTAATTGGACTAGCACATATCTAATTATAACATGTAAATAATAACTAAAATAAAATATTCATTTTTCCAAAATCTTGTTTATTCATTTATTTATATATAATATCTACAGCTAGAAGCCAATTACAGATATTACATTAACTATGAGCTAAATAACAAGCACACACACATAAGTATAAAATTCACATATACAAATCTACCATTAATATTAAAATTTTGTGATCAATGGACTCCAATGTATCTATTTAAATAACTATATTAAAAGATTTTTTTCAAAATAATGTCTTACTAATAGACTCCAATGTAGGTATTTAGTCAACTAAAATAAAATCTCTGACGCCGAAATGGCCGACGCCGAAACGGCCTACGCCGAAACGGCTCTACGCCCAAACGGCCACGCCGAAATGGCCACGCCGAAACGGCGACGCCGAAATGTCCTAGACCCTTCTAAGCGAGGGTAGAACCCATCGCAGTTCCACAGCACTAACGTGAAAGTAAAATATTTTTCACATTGAGCACATTGAGAGGTCAGAGAAGAGTCGGTTAGCGAATCTTCATCATTATTTGTATATTGCGATGTTGTGCTTCCAATTTCTGAATTTTCGAAATTAAGTTGATGTTTAATTTTCTTAGAAATTCTTGTAAATCGATTCTTAATTGTTCTATCTTCCAGTGAAGGGTATATTCTAAACATGTCGTCGAGTACTGATCAAACATTTTGAGTGAACTGCTGTGCTTCTTGTAGAGGGTTATTACAGCCGAATAAGTGTTCCAGAAAGGCAAAAAAATTTTCAACCGGTAAAGAGAATAAGTTTGGATTTTCTTGATAACGATTATTAATTGTGAGAACAGAGGAGGCGGTTAGTTTAGACTGATTGGGTGCGACTTTCTTGGATTTTTTAGGTTTGTTCTTTTTAGGCACGTTTGCATCGGGTGAAGGCATTTTTATGTCTTTGATGGGTAAGTTATGAGATGTGTATGTTTCTTGGGAGGTAGAACCACTGAAATCAGAACGAGGTCGTTTCTGACCAGTGGTAGGAGAAAAAAATTTATTGTTTGCGGCAATAGAAGTGGTGGATATATCGACAGTATTTATCTGTTGGCTGGGAACCGAATTTTGTGTTATGTTTGGTGGTGCCATATTGTTTGATATTGGGGTAGCAGGGATGGGTTTAGCTGGAGACGTTTGTTGATTTGTAAGAGGATTGCTAGGTGATTTTGACAGATATTTGGTGTATGTCCATGTTTTTTGCATAGAAAATATGCCATTTTGTCAGTAGAGAGAAATAGTCTGTATGAATTATTGTCGAATGGAATTATTAATGATGTTTCGATTTCGAGGCTATATTCGCTGGTGAAGCACGTTGAAGACGTGCCGATCTTGAAGGTTTTTTTCTATAATTTCATGAGGTATTGATACAATCTCATTACAATCGGATACCGCTCATTACAATCTGATAATGGGAGATTTTAACGGAAAACTCGGAAGGAAAAAGGACGAACAAGAAGTGGCAATCGGAGATTTTGAAATCGGAGTAAGAAACGAAAGAGGCGAAATGCTTACCAACTTTCTACTGCAACACAAACTGTATGCAATGAACACCTTTTTTAAGAAGAAACAGAATAGAAAATGGACGTGGGCTATCCAGATGGAAGAAGTAAGAGCGAATATGATTATATAATAACAGACAAAAAGCAAATTATTCAAGATGTCACTGTACTCAATAAACTATCAGTAGGAAGTGACCACAGACCAGTAAGAGCTAGAGTAACGATAAATCTACAAAAAGAAAGAGCAAAGATGATAAACAGTAGCAAACGTATAGTTTGGAATTCACCAAATCAACCAGAAGCCTATATAAAAAATATAGCCGAAACTTTACAAAGTAATAATCCCAAACCTCTTAGTATCGACGATCACAATAAATTAATAACAGACTCGGTTAGAAACGCACAACTCAAATTTTGCAAGAAAAATGACACGAATTTCACAAAAGTGAAAAGATTAGCAAAAATACAAAAGCTCTCACGGAAATACGACGAAACCTAAGCGAGAACGAAAAGGGAGACAAAGAAGAATATAAAAAACTAAAAAAAAAACAATTTCCGCTGAAATTAGAAAAGATGTAAGACAATATAATACTAATGTAATTACTTAAACAGTAGAAGAGAACAAAGGTTTAGAGATAATGAAAAGAAAACTCACACAAAGTAAAAAAGAAATATACAAGCTGAGAGATAAAGACGGAAAGGCAACAACAGATAAACAAAACATTCTAGAGGCTAACACCTAAACTTGATTTTTATCAGCTCAAAGAACGGGCAGGCTTCAGGGCAGGATGTGGCACAAATGACCATTTGCATACCATAAAGATCTTAATAGAAAAGTGCATCGAGTACAACATACCACTGGTTCTTACATTTGTCGATTACGAGAAGGCTTTTGATTCTGTAGAGTTTGAAACAATACTGGAAGCCCTAAATCAAAGCCGAATAGATAACAGGAGACAATATTTCGCCAAAATTGTTCACGGCAGCTCTAGAGTCAATATTTAAGAGCACACAATGGCAAGATATAGTCATCAATATAGATGGAGAAAGATTAAATCAATAAGAGTTGCAGATGATGTTGTATTAATTGCAGATAATTTACATGATACAGTTTCTATGATGCATTCGCTTAAAAGTCTGTCTGAAAGAGCAGAATTAAAGATAGACTTTGAGAAAACTAAATTTATAACAGATCTCGTAATGAGTGGAAATATAACTATTGACAATAATAACATACAACAAACAAGAGGTTAGTCTTCGTAAATGGGTATATTCATTTAAAAAAAACCCTTAAAAGGGCTACATAAAAAAAAACAAACGTTTTCGGACTAAACAGTCCATCATCAGGTTTAAAATTGCCTAAAATAAGTATAAACCATTTAGTTAAAGCAAACGTGGTTATTTTTAAATTTTGACTGGGGTTAAAAAGCAAAAATGGTTATACTTACTAGGTTAAAATGCCTGAGCCACCAAAATACCAGGGTAAAAACCCTTTAAATTACATGTAGTTATTAAAGATTGTACATATTGTTGTTATTAAAATGTGATGTTAATTGAATTTAACTTCAGGTAACATGCTTGAAGTGAGTTCCAGTGTCCGAAGAGTAAACCTCTTCAAATGGGCTACAGCTGGTAACTGATTGACAAGATACCTATGAACGGTGTCGAAAACAAAATGTCAATGTAACATGAAACTATATTAGTTATACATAGTATTACTGCAGCCAAAAGATTTAATAAAATTTTCAATGATATTAAAAATAATAACAGCAATCCAGGTGTTGGGATTTAAAAACTTTTTATTTATTAATGTAGGGTATAAAAGATGTGGAAATACCGTTGGTGTTAAAGTCATGTTTAAGAGGATGACATGTGCATTAGGCAACCTATGTTACTTTTTGTCGTATGGAATATGGTCTAAAAGTGTATTTTATGTTAGATTAGCTTATATATGCAATAATATTTTTCACTATTAATGCCAAACATCCAACTCCGTTAAGGGTCATGTCAAGCACATACCATGACACTCACAGGGGCCGTAGTATACTACGTAGCATATACAATAGGTTATTAAAAGCTTCTTAACCAATGAATGTGTATTTCGCCAAATTAATAAACGAACTAAAGTTATTAACACTATGAAGGAAAGAAAATTAGAATATTTGACCACGTTAGAAGAAATAAAAAATGCGAATTATTGTAACTAATAATCAAGGTCAAACTTTAAGAAAAGCTTGGCCGGGGTATAGAAAACTTTATGCCGAGATAATTTACACTATACAGCAGCAGACCATTTAAGAATAATGTAGTCGATATTTTAGATTTTAGAAGAACAAGCATTTAAATGAGATATTGTAACGGAAACGTACAAAAAAATTGCGTATAGTTACTTATACAACTAACTCACCTCATATTCGACATTAAAGTAATATGTATAGTTTTGAAACTCCAAAAAATTTGCACTACTTTTCCTAAACAACGTTTTGGATGTAAAAATCTGAGCTTCCTCTCCACTTACGACAATAAACAAATATAAAAGAATAATTACTTTGTTATACATCCTCACGCTTGTAAAATTTCACTTAAATTAAAGTCGTTTAAGATCACATTACCACTATTTTCTGTACCCACAAAACCCAAGGGGAATTACTGTCAATATTATTTATGAGTCAGGCATACTGGAAATTTATCAATATGCGTATTTAATTATTATCTGTCAATCTATTTTGGTACATCGGTTTATAATATAGATATTTTATGAGTTTCGCACGAACTTGAGATACTTATCGTTTATTCAAAATAAAATTAAAAGAATTGTATTCATGTTAAATTAATAATTTTACCTGCGATTTCTTATAGTCGCAAACGAATTTACTGATTCAAGATTCTGATTTTTTATTTATTAGCGTATGGGATATTTCATCTCCATAATATCCGTTCAATCCTGTCGGAATATGGCAATGCCAGAGGCATATATTAATTGTTTTTTGAGATGGATTACTCCTCTTTTTTTATTTCTTATAAATCACAATATGTTATTGCAACGTTGATTATTTGTTTTCACTCCTTTTTAATTGTCAGTACAATACGCTATTTAATGATAATACAAATGGCAAATACAATAGGCAAAAAGAAAAAAATGTCTTCTTCTTCTTCTTCGTGCGACTAGGATTACTCCTGTTTGTCTGTCTCTTATTCTCTTTCAGTCGTTGTTGACTGTACATTATCGTTTCCACCTTTTTGGCAGCCTTCCAACGGGTCTTCTGCTATACGTATATTGTTGTTTTTACATATGTTCGCTAATCTATCTGGTCCCAATCGATTTACATGTTCGTTCCAGTTTGTTTTTTCTTGTTTTTATCCACCTGTTAATATTTTGAATTTTGCTTTGTTCGCGTATACTTCTGTTGGTTTGTCTGTCTCTTAATGATATGCCCGCTATTGATCTTAATACTTTCATTTCAATATTGTTGATTTGTTGTTTCATCTTTATTGTATCGGTCCTTATCTCCGCTGCATATGTTAGGATTGGTCTTATTGTTATCTTATATACTTTCATTTTGCTGTCCGTCGTCTGATATTTGTTTCTCCATATTGTTTCTCGGAGGCAACCACTTACTCTTACTGCTTGTGATGCTTGTCTTGTGGTATCTGTTCTTATATTCCGGTCACTAGTGATCTCTTCTTTTTCTTCTTAAGGTGTTGTGCATTTCTGCGTAGGCGTCCACCGTACATCGTCTTGTCAGGTGAGATGTTAAATATTCTGGTTTAAATAATTCTGTTTTTAGCAGCATTGCGAAGCATTTCATAGCTGTGGTGTCTCTACTCCTAGTTAATTCAATTTCATTACTTGTTCTACAATTTTGCCGTCTATTTCTAGTTTGCATCTACTCAGCTCTTTACTGATCACTATACATTTAGTTTTCTACTGATATTACCATATTAGGTTTGTTTGCTGTGATATTGAAGGTGTGGAGCTGCCTTTGTAGGTCATATTCGTTATCAGCAATTAGTACTGCATTATCAGCATAGCATGGTATCGTGATTTTATGCGCTCCCATGTGTTATCCGTGTCATTTTGTTACTTCGTGAAAAAGTGAAAAATGGGTTGGTGAGCAAGGTTAGTAGCCTAAATACTGTCAAAAAAATCAATGCTCATAGAACCGAACAGAAGAAAAAAATGTAAGTGGCGTAATACAACACAAGTTATTTCAAAAACTAAACTAAACATAAATGTCTAAATTGTGGTCGTGGTCTGTCTCAGTGATCTACAATAGTACTATGGATATTACTTGGCCCCATTGGTATAGAGAGTCGGTACATACTATGCTCCGTGCATATGCGGTTTTTTATCGGTTATCCAGTAAACTCAAGAGATATATTGTTATTTTAATCATAGCTGGCTCCGTTGTTGCATCCATCTTGTTAATTGCTCTTTTTATAGTTATCACTCATTCTTTGGGCGATTTGGATATAGAGTTGCCTGTAATTCAGTCGTTGGCACAATCTTCCCATATTTTCTGATCAGAGCTGCCATACGTCAAATATCTGGCGGTGCTATATAACAGAATTGGAAGCCACCTTATTGTAGTTAATTTTATAGATTTAGATATTATTCTTGTAGTGTGATTTAGTTGTACATAGATCTTCTTTACATAAGTGAAATTTACACCAAATACACCAGGGCTAGCACAGTAAGTGTAGTCACAGTTGTGGTATTTGATGGATAAAATGTCCTTATCGGTCTTTATTATTAAAAACTTACGAAATATATTTTAATTAACTAGATACTTTATTTTGTTAATATTTCGTTGTTTATATTTAACGACTAATACCGAAACGATATTTATGAACACAGGTCTGCGACCTACACTAACGTTGCGAGACAATATTCTAATATTTATATGTGTAATAAACGTACTTCTTTATGTATATATATAGGGTTAGGTTAGCAGCCTGCCATATATAAAAATAAAAAAAGCCCAAAACATCGGTAACGAGCCTAGTACTAGGACAGAAAATATGGTAACGACAAAGGCGAACAAAAGGACGACGAACTGGAAAACGAAAAATATAATGAGAGTGGCGACGTGGAACATAAAAAGCCTAAATAACCGAGATCAGGAAATAGAAAAAGAATTTAGAGAATATTAAATAGATATCTGCGCCCTACAGGAAACAACGAGAAAAGGTAAAGGACAGGCGCGACTTGGAGAATATTTACTAATACATATATAGTGGGATTCAGAAACAAGAAAGAGCAAGGGAAGGTGTAGCAATAGTGATCAAAACAAAATATAAAGACCAAATTAAAAAGTGCCAGTACATATCTCAGAGAACAATTTTAGTAAAAATTAGGGCGAACAGCAAAATTATTTACATAATAGGGATATATGCACCAAAAGACTGCAAACCTGGAAATACAGCAAAAGTTTTGAATAATAAACAAAATGTAGTTCGGAATTTTTTTTATTCCATATTACCAAATTTAGGCTATTTACATCAAGACGATATTGTACATCACATTAAAGTAATTTAAATTAATTTTAATATTTAATTGACAATCCCTTATTTTTAGTAACTAATTCACATCTTTTGGGCATGGAATTTATTAATCTTTGCAGTTCCTCCATGGAAATACAGTGATGCCAAGCGTGGATTAGAGATTCGATTAATTTCATTTTATTTGTGTGTTTGCTTTCGGAAATGATGTTTGATAGCCTTTGCCATAAATTCTTGATGAGATTGAGGTCCGGAGATTGTGCGCTGGCCAGTCCATCCTATCAATTTCATTACTCTCCATCCAAGCTTTAACCAATTTTACTTTATGGCAAGGAACATTATCATCCTAAAAAATTAATTTTTCTTCGCCAAACAGATCTTTTCCACTACGCAGCATCTTATTCTCTAGTACCTCAATATATTTGGTAGCATTCATCATCCCAGAGACAACGTGTAGGCGACCAACTCCTCGAGCGGACATGCAACCCCATATCATAACGGAGTTTGGATGTTTAATTGTGAGAAGAAGACATTTTGGAGAAAATTCTTCACCAGGAAATCTTCTGACGTAGGTATTTCCAGCATAATTATTAATATTCAAAGTGGATTTATTACTAAACAGTACACTCTGTCACTGCTCTGCTGTTCAGATCCGATGTTCCTTGGCCCATTTCAAACGGTACAATCTTTGCTTTTCTGAAAGCAGTGGTTTCTTTCGTGCCTTATATCCTCTCAGTCCAAAACTAAGCAGTATTTTTCTCACAGTGCAAGTGCACACGCTTACACCTGTAGATTCAGACCACGGCTTCGTGAATTGGGTGGAATTAAGGCTTTTGTCTGCCTGACTTGTTCTTCTTAACGCAGCGTCATCCTGAACAGAAGTTTTCTTTGGTCGACCACTACGCGGTCTCTCGTCGATTTTTCCTTGTTCAGCATAGTTATTAATGACTTTAATTACTGTAGATTGATCACAGTTTACTGCAGATGCTATTTCGCGACTAGATTTGTCGTTTTTATGGTGAAAAATAATTTCAAAACGCTTTTCGTCTGATAATTTAGTTTGTTTGTTTTGGGATGACATTTTGATTAAAAATCACAGAGCGAATAAATGTATTAGGGTAACTACAGTGTTTATATAGTCAAAATATGTGGCAAATTTGTCATTAAAATTCAATTTAATCAGGGCCGTTCCTGGCGGGTATGCAATGAATGCCCCGCACGCAGGCGCTAAATTTTAGGGGCGCCAAATATTTGGTTACAGTTACAAAAATATTCTTACTTCTAAAACAAAAAAAGTCAGTGTTCAGTATTTCCCCGGTAAGCGCTAAAGCAATCACTTCATCCGTTTGCTATTCACTATTATAATACCAAAATTACTAATTAAATTACCACCCTACAATTTTATTAGTGTCAGCATACGACGCGCCATCTAATGCCGCACGCCACTCACTTTTAATGTTTTGTGTTGCCGGCATGCCGCCCGCGTGGTTGTCTTAAGAAAAGTTGCGCGATGCGCCCGCCTCTGACGAAATTGTCGTTTGCGCAGCAAACCGTAACGTTTTAAGTCAGTCGTTAGATTTTGTCTTATGGGTTAGGATGTTCTGTTCGCAATATCATTGTCATTAAAGTTTATTGTAAATACATCAAGTTTATTGTAAATTGTAAGTTTAAGGCGGCAAATAAACTGCTTAAAGTAAGTAAAATAAGTTAACTTATTCATTTAAATAAAATAAAAATAAATAAGTAAAGTAGTAAAATTTAACAGTTTAAGAACCTTAAAATTATTCTTCGGGTCAGTTAAGTATGTATCAATGTTTATTTACAACCATGTATGTTATGTTGACATTGAAGACCTTTTATAAAAGTTTGAAAAACCAAATTTCTAGTTTTAAAATCTATCCAGGAGGAAAGTGACATTTACCCGGATGAAAAGTGTATGACATTAATTTTCCACCCAGGTAAATTTTAACATCCTACGAATAACCAAAATGTTTGTTTAAATTTTATTAGATTTTTTTTTAAATTTGCATTTAAAAGATATGGTTCTGAATAAAACAG